CGAGCCCTTTCCTAACTCGGACAAGGCGGCCCGAGGCACCGGGCCCAATTCTAGAAGCAAAGGGGCAGGAAAGAAGGATCAACGGACCTTCCGGCTGGAGTGCAAAGATAAGGGCATTAGCCTTAGAAAAAATAAACAAACAAAAATCCAGAGTCCTGCTGGCGGCTGCGGGACTAGGATTAATCCGGTAGGGGTGGCTACGCAGAAGGACTTGTCCCCTAGAGGCCATGCAGCCACCAGGCTCCAATAGACTGAGGTAGCATGCTGGGAAGGCGTAAGCTGGACAAGGCCATGTGAAAATGAGGTAGAGCTTGAGGCTGGTGAGCTTTTCGATTAGAAATCCATTTTTGTTTAAGGCTTAAACGACAGGATTTGACTGAGCCAAATGATCCATTTGGCCGCTGTATACGGATTAGAAGAAATAAATTACTGCCCCTACAGAACATGCTAAGTACTGTAGAAGGGATAGGGAGCCAATGAAAGACCTACCAGATTGGGGAGACAGTGGAGGCAGAGCATATGACTGGTAATACTACTTAAAAACTAAAATGGTTACCTCACTCTCCCCTCAACCTTAACATTAGTGAAAACTCCCCAAGTGAGTTTTTGGCATGGATCTGGTGGACCTGTATGAATGTGTTGTGTTAACCCGTTTGTGGACTGGTTCCGGGATTATCCAAGTGTTTTCAATCGGGAGCAACTTGATTCATGTTGTTTTTTACTATCACTGAAGATTGGCTTTTACCATAAGCAGCCAGCCTAGTATGCTCCAAGAGTGTATTCTTCCCTTCCCCAGAGAAATAGGTTAAGCTTTTCTTTTAGACCTCACCCCGTGGCTTCTCAGACAACTTGGGTTTGAAGCCTTCATGGTCACAAAGTTGAATATAACCTAGAAGTGGAATCAGTTCATCAAAGGACTATGACCTATAAGTGGCTGGGTTTCCACAGTATTTTACTAGCATCCTATTGGAAGGAAACCAGGAAGGCCTTTGCTTAGCACAAAATGATCTAAAATGGGCGTTTTTTCAGAAATGGAGACTGGGTTATGTTACAGCTGGAGGCAACTCGCCAAAGTATCATGCCATCTCTCCACAGCATAAACTAGCTGTACCCAAACTCATAGGCTAATCTGTTTGAGACCTGATCTTTGGGCCCTCCACATATGTCAAAGGCAAGAGAAATGTGAAAGGGGAGTATTTACTAGCTTGGGGATGAGAAAACTGACTTTAATAATGGCGAATGCTATAGCCTTATTTTGTGGAAGATAACTTTTATTTTTCAGGCATTGTTTAACCTTTATCTTCTAACGGATCCCCACCATATCAGCCCATTTTCTGTTGCTATAACAGAATACCAAAACAGGGTGTTCCCCCCTCCAAAGAAATGTTAATTGAGCCCAGTTACAGAGGCTGATGACCTAGATCATGTCACTCCCCCGTTCTGCCTCAGTATGGACCCCCACGGTACTTACAGCATGGTAGACACGGTTGATGGGATGGTAGCAAGGTGAGAGAGGAAGTGAAATGGCATCCAGGAGTCTCAGTCTCTGTCTGAAAGTAGAGGGAGAAATGAAGAGGAGCCTGACAAATGTGAGCCTTGGATCCAGCCATACCTGAATGCCACCGAATGCTTTCTCATTTAACTGTGTTCTCTATTGGCCCCTCTTTGTTTTGCGTGTACTATTCTGAATTGTGCTTGCATCCCTTGTGACTGACCTCCAGTGAAGGTATATGAGTGTTCGTATGTGCCAGACCGAGCTGTGTTTGTATACATGAATTCACTCACTGTTCACTTCAACCCTACAGCACACCGTCCCATAACTCAGATGATAAATAGCTGTACTCCAGACTGTTTGAAAATGGAATGTGTTGAAATGGTCTTGAGGCTCCACTTGAAGAGTTTAAATTGAACAGAACAGAGAAGTTTCTTTCCTCCAGCTTGTAATGAGTACCAAGACAGATGGCTGAGTGTGGTCTTGGGGCTTTAAAATAGGACAGTTGGATATTCCTCTGGTCTCGTCCACGCGGTATTATCTACCAGTGTATTTGATCCTTTGATAATGACTCCAGTGGATAGTAGGAAGTCCCTCTGACTCATAACTTAATTTTGAATCTAGTGTGCTGAGATGGGTGTGTTTGAATCTAGTGTGCTGAGATGGGTATGTTTGAATCTACTGTGCTGAGATGGGCGAGTTTGAATCTAGTGTGCTGAGGGGGGTGTGTTTGAATCTAGTGTGCTGAGGGGGGTGAGTGATCGTGGAGAATCTTCCTGGGTTTGAAAGCTGCTCCTGGCTAGAGATGCTGATTGGGAGGAGGTCTTGGGTTCTTCTAGCTCTGTGGCTTCCAATGTCTCAGGTTACATTTAAAAATTTAAAAGAATTAGAGATGAAAGGCAAGAAATTATTATAGTGGGAGTATATTAGTAAGACTTTTCTGGGGGACCAGAACTTATCCAATGAATATAAATATTAAAAGGGGATTTACTACCTTACCTTATACTGCTGTCTGGGTAGTCTATCATTGGCAGTCTTCACACTGGAGCGTCTGAGAACCTGGTAGCTGGGTAGTCTGTGAGGCTGGATGCCTCAGCAGTCCCAGCCTGGTACTGAAGGCTTAGAGGATTCCCTGTTCCACTATTGGCAGGATTATCAGCCCGTGTTGGAAGCCTGAATAAGTTGCATTCTGGTATTAGCAACAGAACATGACAGTAGTGGTGGCAGTAGTGGGGTGAATGACCTTGCCAGCAAGAGCAAGGACCAGGAGGCAAAAAGCAAAGCCTTCTGGCCTCCAGGCCTCCTTCATCTGAGCTGCTGTGAGGAGGTGCTGCCCACATTTAGGCTGGGTCTTCTCATCTTAGAAACCCTATTGAGAAAATCCCTCACAGGTTTGCCCAGCAAGCTTGCCTTTTAGTTGATTCCAGAGCCAGTTAAGTTGACAAGATTAACTATCACAACTAGTCATTTTGGCTAATAACTAACATTTAGTAGGGTTTTGTCTCCTGTATGGGGGTTTTCACGTCCTGTCCTTTATTTCCTTTGATTCTAGCAAATTTTCCACAATCCAGTGAAATCTCTTTCCCTCTCTACCCCTCCCTCCTCCCTCCCTCCCTCCCTCTCTCTCTCTTCCTCACTCTCTTTCTCTTGTGTCTCTGTGTGTGTCTCTCATCCGTGTGTGTGTGTGTGTGTGTGTGTGTGTGTGTGTGTGTGTGTGTGTGGTGTGTACACTCATGTACTCTTGAACTGTCAAACTTGCGCCACTCTGCTCTCTAGAAAGTTTGCTCAAGGAGCTCTCACTGCCAGGTAGCACTCACAATAGTGAATGGGAAAGGGTGTATCCTGAGAGCAGTGTTCTCATTAGACGAGAGCACCGGACACTAAGGGTCACAGAACTTCACTTGAGTCAGCAGCTCATAAACTCAGGAAAGAAATTCACAGACAAGGAGGGTATGCAAAGAAGGGAGCTTTTTTACTATAGATACAGTTTAAAGAAGAAAATTAAAGATATGTTGTAGAAAGCAGAGCTCAGGAGAGGATCCAAGAGAGAGAAACCCACTGAACTATTTTTCTAGGGGCTTTTTATAGGATGGCAGGGACTAAAGGAAGATGGAAGACATTTCTGTTATGATTTGCTATTCTTGGCGCGTATCACAAGTTGAGCCAATGGAGGCCCACACTCTGTGCATGTCCCCTGGCCCAATGAGGGAGATGACCACATGCTGCTCACCTGATGCTCTCTCAGGAGGAGTGCTCAAGCGTTGAAGCCCCCGGTTCATCTTTGGCTTGTTTGTTCGCTGTTGACTGTGACTGTTGGCAGTTCTCCCTGACAGCTGTTGCTTCTGCGGCCCTTGCAGGTGTTGCTGGCCTTGGACCCTGGTGGGTTCTT